TGTCTTGATAGCTCGAACAGAGCATGATGCTGTGACAAATGGTCCTAATAATGAAATTCAGTTTATGAATATCAAGTCTCTAAATGAATGGGATTCAAGGTTTTCTGGTGGTGTTGATTGGCGCAGTCGTTTAGACAGCCAGAGATGTGCTGTTCTTGCCACTGAACTTAAAAACAATAGTTGTAAATTAGCCAAATGGACTGTCAGTGCTTTGTTGGCAGGATCTGACCAGATTAAATTTGGATATGTGTCTCGGTTACACGTGAAAGACACAGCCAAGCATGTGCTACTTGGAACCCAACAGCTTAAGCCTGTAGAATTTGCCAGTCAGATCAACTTGAACATGGATAATGCTTGGGATATTCTGAGATGTATCGTGGACACGTGTATGAAACTGAAAGAAGGCAAATATCTCATCATGAAAGATCCAAACAAGCCTGTTGTTAGGATCTATGATATTCCTGATCACAATTTTGAGTCAGATGAGGATGAAGATGACGACGACGATGATGATGACGATGATTCAGATGATGATTCAGACGATGATGATGATGATGAAGTCGAAAAGTAAAATTGATTTGAGACAGCTTGAATATTTTTTCTTCATGACGAAGAACGTGTGTAATTGGAGCTAAAACAATTGTATAGATGATGTAAACAAGGACCCAAAGTTAGACATTCTTAAGGCTACTAAAGTTTCAATTGATCAGTGTATAGTTGTACCCACTTTTTAAAAAGCAGGTTTGGCTTTGCTATTTATATCTTACAATTTAAAATGTGTATTTTATCTTTCATTTCTTAAGTATTTAGATTATCACCCCTCAAGGGTGTTACATTATAAGTTAAAGATTTTAATTTTGTTGGGAAGCTAGTGAAAAATAAACATTTTAAATAAAAAAAAAATGATATAAGTATATTTTAACAACTTACGTATTCATTTACTTATTTCGCTATGTATCTCCTATTTTCTGTACATCAATGTATCTACCTTGTAAATATCCACCCAAACGGCGTGGGATGTTATTGTATTTGTTTTTAATTGGAAAATAAAAAGGATTAAAAAATTGATAAAATTATACTATTTGTGTAAACTATTTTTGTATGATATTTTGCTTATGCGAACATTTTTGTTTTAACTTTTTTCGCTTAAAATAAATAAATAAATAATTTCAAAATAATAATAAAATACTGCGAGCTGATGTATGCTGTGATTGTACATCTGGAGTAACAGTCGACAGTATTGGGTCATACAACTGAAGAGGAACATATAGTAGATTTAATACTGGATGTTTGACATGAGATGAAGGAAGGCTAAAAGACATGACCAGATCCTGCTATTCTGTTTTTTAGTGCTAAAAAAGTTAGCTTAGGTAGCTTTTGCTGCAGGGGCTGACTACACAGCATTATGTTAAAATATAAGACGGAGACGTTCTTTCTTGGCTGTAAAAATATATCAGCAACAATCAGAAGAGATGGAGAAAATGTTACATCTAACCCACACACAGAGGCGTAGCGATGGAGGGGGGGGGGGGCAGGAGGGGGGGGGGGCAAAATGGGTTGTAAAAACTAATTAAAATGTCATTTTAGCTGCATACTTGCAGTTTGAGGAGGGTGGGGTTGCAAATCGAAAGTTGAGATGGGGGGGGGGGGGTGCAAATTGAAAATTTGCTCCAGAGGGGGCGCTAAATTGAAAGTTTGTCCCCGGGCCATATACCCCGTGAGTCGAAAAAAAAAACCTGTTTTCCGAATGTCTGTGTGTGTGCATGTGTGTATGTATGTGTGTGTGTTTGTGACTGTGAACACGATAACTTGAGTACCGCTATAGCTAGGTTGATGCCATTTCGTATACCTTTTATATCAAGAGAGAGAGAGAGAGAGAGAGAGAGAGAAAGAGAGAGAGAAAGAGAGAGGAGACGGAATGAAATCTGTAAAATGCAGATTTCTGTATTTGACAAATGATAAAAAACCGAAAGTATGTACCCGCTAAAGACCAATAGAAAATAAAAACTTACCTTGAAATTCCCAGCCCTATTCCCATAGCAACTCTCTGTCATTGGTAGTAAATATTATGGTGTCAAAGTTCAGTAGGGACGTCGTTAAAAGTTTGCTGAAGACGACAGTAACAGTTCGGTAGTGGCGATGATACAAATTCAGATGTGACGACGATAACAACCATCTTGTGACGACGATGAAAGTCTCAGGCAATAAACACCTTATATGGTAAACATTTACCCTTAAACAATTCAAGCGACTGTGGCAGGTCTCAGGCAATAAACACCTTAAATGGTAAACATTTACCCTTAAACAATACCAGCGACTGTGACAAGTCTCAGGCAATAAACACCTTATATGGTAAACATTTACCCTTAAACAATACCAGCGACTGTGACAAGTCTCAGGCAATAAACACCTTATATGGTAAACATTTATCCTTAAACAATACCAGCGACTGTGACAAGTCCCGGTAAATTGCGATCGCTTCAGGGGTTGATGTTTTTGTACAGCCGGTCTATTTCTAAGTTCTTCTTGTTTTTACTTGCCACCAGCTGTTAAGGTCGACTTTAAGAAGTACAAACAACAAAGTACACAGAGTTTGGACCACAGTATTAGTGCGGGCCTACACACGTAATATATTCGCCTAGCCCTCTTTCCAAATCAACCCATCAACTCTCGTTCACACACCTAGTAAACTGAATACCAACATTTGGTCTAAGGGGAATAACACAACAACGTGGGGCTGAACACAACTCACATACTCACCATAAACAATGACTTACCAAGCCTTAACCCGACGTGTTACAATAACAGTATTCACGTCCACCCCTGAAATAACAATACGCGTGAAGAAAACACGTCCACTCCCTCCCCTACACAGCAACAGAAAAAATAGAACAATATGTCAATCATACCAAACATAAGAACATCACAGACCTATTCTCTAGCTGTAAAATGTGCATGTCCATCATAGACACTATTTACTACATCTGTAATGGTAAACTGGGTACAACTGTATACACACGCTTTTAGAAGGCATATATTAGTGATACAAAGATTTTAACAATAATCAAATATATATAGAATTTAGCGTATATGAGATAACGCATTATTTTTAAGAAAGAAAGCTAAGTTAAACATATTTTTAAATAAGTGTAAGTGTAATAACTCCGATAAATGATAGCTTACTTATGAAGTAAAAAAAAAAAACAATCTATTTTCTTTCAAAAGTTAACAAAATATGGGGCCCACATCCCAAACCGCAAATATACTTATAAACATTATGCTTTGCCATAGATCGTAGTAATAGAGAATAAATGACAAAGCATTGTTTAGGTAAAGGTAACTCTAATGTTTTTTATGCAGGGGAAACAATCAAATATTAGTACATTAATTTAAGAAACACAACAAAAATAAATAATAGAAATAAAATAAAACATACTTTTTTTAATAACAAAAGATACAATAAAAATTAAAAAAAAATGTCTTTGAAACAATGATGTAAAATGACATTATCTATTAACAAGTCCTCTAATATTGGATCTAACTCTAAATGTGAAACGTTTGTCAGATTTCATTACTTAATGCTAAATATAGAGCGATTTATCATTTGATAAGTTGGTGCCATGTTTTCGCTACTTTTTCCATATAAAAATATTAATGGTTTTTAATTTAAACCAAAAATAAATTACAAATTAAACAAGTGTATAACGAAAAAAAGAAAACACTTTTGGATGAACAGACTGGTAGCTTTCACCCCCGACTCCAACCCCCCCAAAATTCAAAAACTTCTTCATAACCGAATGTCACTGTTTCTTTTCAGAACACTGATTATGCCAGCTTACTACTTTATAACCCCCACCCTTACCACTAAACGTTTCTATGTATTATATGCATATTTAAGAATGAAAGAGATGAAGATAGCGGAGGTTTGTAAATCTAATACGGTCCTCGTATGTCACGTGATGAAATACAAGTAATTAGACAGTGGTCACCTTCGGGACAAAGCTCAGGCGAGCTGAAAAGAATTACATAATCTGAGACTTAAAAAACAATGTATTTATTTGTTTGTTTGTCTTTTATTTCATAAACATGTATTTTTAAAGGTTTTAAAATATATCAATTCGGTGTTTAAATATATCCTTTTTTAATCCACATATCTAAATTATAAATATTTACATATATTTTTTTTAAAGATTTGTATGTTTTACCTAAATACATCTATTTAAACAAAGATGGGGCTTAAAGACAAGTTATTGCGGTCACTCTAGCGTCGTATTTTAAGTTATCAAAAATAGTCTTACATTTTATCATAATACTTTTTGTTAGAAGGACGTGATTATATGTAAACATGTTAGCAGGAAAATATAGAAAAACCACACGAGGTAATTTAGTTCAAATGAAAACACAGTTGCTGCCGTAATTTTTACTTTGTCGATTGAGTCACACAGTCAAATAATTGATTGGAACGCCTTATGCTGAATTAGAGTATTAGTCTACATCAGTAATTCATTAGTGTTCATTGATAATTGAATGATTTTTTTACGTCACGATTTTCTTTTTTACTCTCAAACTTGTGAATAAAAAAAAAAAGAAAAAAAAAGAATGTTTGGTTTATTTAACTTAGTAGGGCTGGTAAGAAGATCACCAACCTGTTCTACGGCTGAATAAAACCTGCATGAGACATAGAACTAGTTGGTGACCTACTTACCAGCCCTATTGTCTCGCCCTCTTTTCTCTCAGCTTGTCATTGCCTTTTTGCCACACTTTTTTTCATATTTCCAAGCTGGCCGTTAAAATAAACGTGTCCAAGGTTTGTTTTTTTCTATCATTTTAGAATGTTTCAAACATAAATTAGGTATTTGTCATAAACTAGCCCCGATGCACATTCAGCTGAAACATGTTTAGGGTGTTAACTATCATTCGCGCTAATATTGGTTATTCCCAATTTTTATCCTCAAGTATCAAAGCAAATTTTATCTAGCAAGTATCTAAAATAAAACCAGATGTCGGGGGATTATAATGTCGAGGTACCACTTTGTTACGGTGATATTGAAGATCCAAACTCAAAACGCAAAAAAAGGAAACTATGTACGATGGTCATCTGGGATATAACAGTCAGTTATTATAAAACAACGTTAAAATGGTGCAATAACTTATGCTCTTTGTCCATCCAAGTATTGCAATGATTGTAAAAACTATACAGATGACATCTAGTATATTTAAATCACGCTGGGGGTGTGGCAGTTAATGGAACCTCCACAGTTTTATCACAGAGTTTATCTAATGAATGATATTGAGAAATATTTCAGGAAGTAGATGTAAGCTTTGATGGCCCCTCGAGAGTACAGTTTACAGTATTGGGTCATACAACTGAAGTGGAACAGATAGTAGATTTAATACTGGAGGTTAGTCATGGGATCTAGGAAGTCTAAAAGAAAATACAATATTCTGCTATTCTGCTTTGTAGTGCTAGAAAGTTTAGCAGAGGTTGCTCTAGCTTCAGAAGCTGACTATATATCAATAAAGGGTAAAAAAAAAAAGACAAGATGAAATTATTTTGTTTTCTAGAGTTAAAAAGGTTAACATATGTCACCACAAGAAAGTCAAAAAGAAAAGACAAGATCTTGCTAATCTGTCGTCAAAGAATGGTTAGTAAAAGTAGCTTTAGCTTCATGAGCTAACTATGCATCAATAAATTCAAGACTAAAACAATCGTTATTGGATGTATAAATATATCAGCACCAATCAGAAGAGATGGAGACAATGTTACATCTAACCCAGACCATAACTGTTGTTTTAACAAAAAAAAAATCATGAAGAATGGAAGAAACAAAGAAAAAATAAAAATAAACGAGAACTATCAAATAATAATGATGAGACATGTTTATTTTTTTAACCGAACTAATTGCAAATGAAAAAACGTTATATTAGTTTTTGTTAAACAACACAATTAGAAACATGTGGTATATGATTTGTACCAACAGCATATACTTTTGTGGGACTAAGTTGACTTAATTAATAAAAATTGTAATTACTGTGTCTGATGTCAAACTATAAAGAAAGGGGCGGGGGGTAAACAAAATGTTCAGTAGGGGGATAGGAGGGGGGGGAGCGGATAATTTAAATAGCAGATATTTTTATATAAATCCGTTTTCTTTTATAAGTTGTGTATGGGTGGGCGGGGGGGGGGGGTGTGTGTGGTAGACGTGCCTTCAATCCTCCCCCCCGGAAGTGATGCCTGAAATAAACATTACTCTGTTAAATTAACTTAATACAAGAAAAAAATATGTACACTTGTGAGAACTTTTGATTAGTTGTTCACTGCTTAATAAATACAGACAATTCTAAACTATGCGAGTGTCATTTTTTTAAAGATTTATCATTTCATTATATGTCTCGTATTTAAGTTGAAAGATGTTAACTTGATTTTAAGAGTCACATATTTGTAAATTAGCATAATTTCTATTTTCAAAATATAGTACTGCTTTTCTATTGTTTGAATATCTATTTATATTATGAATGTTCACATTTCCAAAAAAAAAATATATGTATACACCAGGGTCAATGTAAACCAAGATTAAACTACACATAGGTCGAGCAGCACAGACATGAGTACACCCTACAGTCCTGACAATCATCTGATACATTTCTATACAAAAATAGTCCTGTTTGTCTACAGAACGACATATAGGAAATTTAAATCCGCCCAAGAACATTTTAAATGCAACATTTAAATCGGTGAAGAAAGTCGAACAGCAAAACAAACGGCATAATATTGCTTCTAAACTACTCAATATTAAATGAATAGGGAAATAAAACAAGACACACATGAATAATACTGCTGCAATTAATTACCGTTATTATTTTCTACACACTAATTTAATAAAATAAAAATTGATCAGACATATCTCTGTGCTAAGCTCACCGATTAAGAGAAAGACGTCTATGAGAATATTATTTTTAGCTTCGATTAATAATGGGGACTTCGTTTATATTACATTTTATAAGGGAAACAACTTACACAATATTTTGTTGTTTAAAGTTTAAATAAGAAGTACCAAAAAAGTATGCATCAATCAAATTGCCATAGTATTTTTCGAATAGCAACAAATAATTGCATATGTAATATTTACAAAAATGACATTCTGCATAAAAAATAACTAAATTTATTTTGTAATAAAAAAATGACAAAAACTTTTTTAATAGGTCACTTTTCTTGTAATATACTTTGTGACTGCTAATTAATCAACGTTGGGTCCTCATTATTACTTCCGTGTTATAACATTTTGCTGTAAAAAAAAAACTTATTTCCCCCTACTTTCTAAAAAAAAGGCTATCGTTTTGACTTCTTGTCCTCTTACTAAAGCCGTGTGGTTGACAGGACAAACGTATTGTGATTGAAAATGACAAATCCAAAAGGTTATCGCCGCGGCACGCGTTACATGTTCTCATGTAGATTCAGAAAAATAAACGCGGTACATGTTCTCACGTAGATTCAGAAAACAAACGCGGTACATGTTCTCACGTAGATTCAGAAACAAAGGTGTGACCAAGCTGTCACGTTATATGTCAGTTTACAAACGTGGGGACATCGTTGACATTAAGGGTGATGGTGCCATTCAAAAAGGTATGCCACACAAGTTCTATCACGGAAAGACTGGTCGTGTTTTCATTGTAACCCCTCATGCTGTTGGTTGGTGTGGTTGTCAATAAACAGTTGGGCAACCGTATTATCCCCAAACAAATCAATGTAACCCCTCATGCTGTTGGTTGGTGTGGTTGTCAAAAAACAGTTGGACAACCGTATTATCCCCAAACAAATCAATGTAACCCCTCATGCTGTTGGTTGGTGTGGTTGTCAATAAACAGTTGGGCAACCGTATTATCCCCAAACAAATCAATGTAACCCCTCATGCTGTTGGTGTGGTTGTCAATAAACAGTTGGGCAACTGTATTATCCCCAAACACATCAATGTAACCCCTCACGCTGTTGGTTGGTGTGGTTGTCAAAAAAACAGTTGGGCAACCGTATTATCCCTAAACAAATCAATGTCAGAATTTAGCCTGTTAAGCACAGTAACTGCCGTCTTGATTTCTTGAAACGCGTCGAGAAGAATGAAGAGCTGAAGAGACAAGCTAAGGAGATAGGTGTTAAAGCTAACACTAAGAGAGATCCCGCCCAGCCAAGGAAAGCCCATTTTGTCAGCAAGCCCGACTTCTTGACACCTATTCCTTATGAGATCATTGCTTAATCTATAATAATAGTTTCGCTGTCTGTCTGTGTATCTGACAAGAACGCTCTGTCTGACAAGAACGCTCTAGAGAAAACATAAGAAAAAATTCTATCTGACAAGAACGCTATAGAGAAAACACAAGGAAATTAAATTAGGTGTTAAAGCTAACACTAAGAGAGATCCCGCCCAGCCAAGGAAAGCCCATTTTGTCAGCAAGCCCGACTTCTTGACACCTATTCCTTATGAGATCATTGCTTAATCTATAATAATAGTTTCGCTGTCTGTCTGTGTATCTGACAAGAACGCTCTGTCTGACAAGAACGCTCTAGAGAAAACATAAGAAAAAATTCTATCTGACAAGAACGCTATAGAGAAAACACAAGGAAATTAAAAACTCTCACAGTGAAACGAAAGACGAAGTATGACGTCGACACATTTAGCATAGAGTTGAAAATAATCTCACGGCGGAAAGTGCACACAGTAATATAATGATGTCATTGATTATCGCGTAAACATTGAATAAAAAGGAAATGTTGTCTAATTTAAATGGTTTGCGTGAAGAGTTTCTTGCATACAATTCTTCGGGTAGGGGCGAAGCCCCACCCCACGCGTAGGAACGTCTGAGCCCCCCCCCCCCCTCCCCAACTCAAAAGAAATTTCTTCATCGATACTCTATAATAAAATTACCGCCTAATTAATGTTTCTAATCTAAAAAGTGGTTTTCTTGCAATTTCTTTAATGCAATTCTTCGGGTAGTGGCTAAGCGCGACACCAGTGTTTCTTTCAGACTTTTTCCTCCCCGGAGAGGGGTGGGGGTAATTGAAATTTTCGGGGACGGGGGTAGAATTTTCGGGAAGGGGGGCGGACACTGGAAAAAGTATATAATTATATTTCGTTGAATGGGACGGTAGACATGATTTTTTTGAGAGTGGGGGGTGGGGTATGGGAGGTGGGGGGTGGCAGGGGGGGGTGGGGGGTGGGGTGGTGGTGTGTGGGGGGGGTGGGGTGGGGGGTGGTGTGTGGGGGGGTGGGGGTGGGGGTGGTGTGTGGAGGTGTGTGTGTGGGGGGGGGTGGGGTGGGGTGGTTTCCTCATCGATACTCTATAATAAAATTACCACCTAATTAATGTGTCTAATCTAAAAAGTGGTTTTCTCGCAATTTCTTTAATGCAATTCTTCGCGTAGTGGCTAAGCGCGACACCAGTGTTTCTTTCAGACTTTTTCCTCCCCGGAGAGGGGTGGGGGTACTTGAGGTTTTCGGGGGCGGGGGTAGAATTTTCGGGAAGGGGGCGGACACTGGAAAAAGTATATAATTATATTTCGTTGAATGGGACGGTAGACATGTTTTTTTTGGGGGGTGGGGGTGGGTGGGGGTGGATGGGGGTGGTGTGTGGGGGTGGGGGTGGTGTGTGTGGGGGGTGGGTGGTGGGGGTGGAAGTGTGTGTGGGGGGTGGAGGTGTGTGTGGGGGGTGGGGGGTGGGGGGTGGGGGGGGTGGGGGTGGGGGTGGGGTGTGTGTGGGGGGGTGGGATGGTTTTAGTTTAGAGAAAAGAGACAGCACTATCAGCCTAGCGCCCGTTGTACCCTTCCTCAAAGGGCCATTTTTTCCGTTAATACTAATAGTTTCGCTGTCTGTCTATCTATAATAATAGTTTCGCTGTCTGTGTATCTGACAAGAACGCTCTGTCTGACAAGAACGCTCTAGAGAAAACACAAGCAATTTAAAAACATGCACAGTAATTCGAAAAACGAAATATGACGTCGACACATTTAGCGCACAGAGTAGAAAATAATCTCAAACCCAGAGAGTGCTCAAAGTTATATGACGTCATTGATTTTCGCGTTAACATTGAATAAAAAGGAAATGTTGTCTAATCTAAATGGTTTGCGTGAAGAGTTTCTTGCATACAATTCTTCGGGTAGGGGCGAAGCCCCACCCCCCGCGTAAGAACGTCTGAGCCCCCCCCCCCCCCCCCCCCCCCCCCCTCCCCAACTCAAAAGAAATTTCCTCATCGATACTCTATAATAAAATTACCGCTTAATTAATGTGTCTAATCTAAAAAGTGGTTTTCTTGCAATGGGACGGTAGACATGTTTTTTTTTGGGGGGGGGGGGGACGGACTTTTTCCTCCCCGGAGAGGGGTGGGGGTACTTGAAATTTTCGGGGGCGGGGGTAGAATTTTCTGGGAGGGGGCGGACACTGGAAAAAGTATATAATTATATTTCGTTGAATGGGACGGTAGACATGTTTTTTTTGGGGGTGGGGGGGTGGTGGAGGGGTGGGGGGGGTGGGGGTGGTGTGTGGGGGGTGGGTTGGTTTCAGTGTTTCTTTCAGACTTTTTCCTCCCCGGAGAGGGGTGGGGGTACTTGAAATTTTCGGGGGCGGGGGTAGAATTTTCTGGGAGGGGGCGGACACTGGAAAAAGTATATAATTATATTTCGTTGAATGGGACGGTAGACATGATTTTTTTGGGAGTGGGGGGGTAGGGGGTGGGGGTGGTGGGGGGGGTGGGGTGGGGTGGTTTCCTCATCGATACTCTATAATAAAATTACCGCCTAATTAATGTGTCTAATCTAAAAAGTGGTTTTCTCGCAATTTCTTTAATGCAATTCTTCGCGTAGTGGCTAAGCGCGACACCAGTGTTTCTTTCAGACTTTTTCCTCCCCGGAGAGAAGTGGGGGTACTTGAAATTTTCGGGGGCGGGGGTAGAATTTTCGGGGAGGGGGCGGACACTGGAAAAAGTATATAATTATATTTCGTTGAATGGGACGGTAGACATGTTTTTTTTGGGGGTGGGGGTGGGGTGGGGTTGGGGGGGTGGTGGGTGGGGTGGGGGTGGGGGGTGGTGTGTGTGGGGTGGGTGGGTTGGTTTTAGTTTAGAGAAAAGAGACAGCACTATCAACCTAGCGCCCGGTGTATCCTTCCTCAACGGGCCATTTTTCTCGTCTATAATAATAGTTTCGCTGTCTGTCAAGAACGCTCTGTCTGACAAGAACGCTCTAGAGAAAACACAAGCAAAATAAAAACATGCACAGTAATTCGAAAAACGAAATATGACGTCGACACATTTAGCGTAGAGTAGAACATAATCTCAAACCAGAGAGTGCACACAGTAATATGACGTCATTGATTAGCGCGTAAACATTGAAAAAAAGGAAATGTTGTCTAATCTAAATGGTTTGCGTGAAGAGTTTCTTGCATACAATTCTTCGGGTAGGGGCGAAGCCCCACCCCCCGCGTAAGAACGTCTGAGCCCCCCCCCCCCCTCCCCAACTCAAAAGAAATTTCTTCATCGATACTCTATAATAAAATTACCGCCTAATTAATGTGTCTAATCTAAAAAGTGGTTTTCTTGCAATGGGACGGTAGACATGTTTTTTTTTTGGGGGGGGGGGGGGGGGGGGGGGGGGTGTGGAGGGGTGGGGGGGGGGTGTGTGGGGGGGGGGGGTGTGTGGGGGTGGGGGGGTGGTGTGTGGGGGGGGTGGGTTGGTTTCAGTGTTTCTTTCAGACTTTTTCCTCCCCGGAGAGGGGTGGGGGTACTTGAAATTTTCGGGGGCGGGGGTATAATTTTCTGGGAGGGGGCGGACACTGGAAAAAGTATATAATTATATTTCGTTGAATGGGACGGTAGACATGTTTTTTTTGGGGGTGGGGGTGGTGGAGGGGTGGGGGGGGGTGGTGGTGTGTGGGGGGTGGGTGGGGTGGTGTGTGTGGGGGGGTGGGGGTGGTGTGTGGGGGGTGGTGGGGGGTGGTGTGTGGGGGGTGGGTTGGTTTCAGTGTTTCTTTCAGACTTTTTCCTCCCCGGAGAGGGGTGGGGGGTACTTGAAATTTTCGGGGGCGGGGGTAGAATTTTCTGGGAGGGGGCGGGACACTGGAAAAAGTATATAATTATATTTCGTTGAATGGGACGGTAGACATGATTTTTTTGGGAGTGGGGGGGTGGGGGGTGGGAGGTGGGGGGGTGGCTGGGGGGGTGGTGGGGGGGGGGTGGGGGGGTGGTGTGTGTGTGGGGGGTGGGGGGGGGGGGTGGGGGTGGGTGTGGGGGGGGGGTGGCGGGTTGTGTGTGGGGGGTGGGGGTGGGGGGGGTGTGTGTGGGGGTGGGGGTGGGTGGTGTGTGGAGGTGTGTGTGTGTGGGGGTGGGGGGGTGGGGTGGGGTGGTTTCCTCATCGATACTCTATAATAAAATTACCACCTAATTAATGTGTCTAATCTAAAAAGTGGTTTTCTCGCAATTTCTTTAATGCAATTCTTCGCGTAGTGGCTAAGCGCGACACCAGTGTTTCTTTCAGACTTTTTCCTCCCCGGAGAGGGGCAGGGGGGTACTTGAGGTTTTCGGGGGGCGGGGGTAGAATTTTCGGGAAGGGGGCGGACACTGGAAAAAGTATATAATTATATTTCGTTGAATGGGACGGTAGACATGTTTTTTTGGGGGGTGGGGGGTGGGTGGGTGGGGGTGGGTGGGGGGAGGTGTGTGGGGGGGTGGGGGTGGTGGGGGTGGGGGTGGGGGTGGGTGGTGTGTGGGGGGTGGAGGTGTGTGTGGGGGGGGTGGGGGGTGGGGGTGGGGGTGGTGTGTGTGGGGTGGGGGGGGGGGGGGTGGGGGTGTGTGGGGGGGGTGGGATGGTTTTAGTTTAGAGAAAAGAGACAGCACTATCAGCCTAGCGGCCCGTTGTACCCTTCCTCAACGGGCCATTTATCTAGTCTGACAAGAACGCTCTGTCTGACAAGAACGCTCTGTCTGACAAGAACGCTCTAGAGAAAACACAAGCAAAATAAAAACATGCACAGTAATTCGAAAAACGAAATATGACGTCGACACATTTAGCATAGAGTAGAACATAATCTCAAACCAGAGAGTGCACACAGTAATATGACGTCATTGATTCTCGCGTAAACATTGAAAAAAAGGAAATTTTGTCTAATCTAAATGGTTTTCGTGAAAAGTTTCTTGCATATAATTCTTCGGGTAGGGGCGAAGCCCCACCCCCCGCGTAAGAACGTCTGAGCCCCCCCCCCCCCCTCC